AAAAAGAGATGGTAACGATGTTAACGATGAAAAAATACAAACATAAGTGTGGAAGTAATGATAAGTATGGAAAACAAGTTAATCCCTAACTGAAGAAGTTTGAGGCTGACTTGACTGGTTATCTGATAGAAGAGAATAGGCCAAAGTGCCGATTTTATGTTTATATGAATTATATTAGCGGCACACTTTCCAGAAAAAATTCACAGTCACTACGAGCTTCGTTTTGATGTCATCAGTGTTGCGCCGACAGCGGATTTGTTGGATTCATTTCCCTGAGAGGAAAGTGTTATTTATAGAAATATGTCATGAAGTTTTAAGAGATTATTAAAAAGATGTTGATGAGTAGTATGCCAATTTTTAATTTCATAGTCTTAGTGGCACGGAAGATTTTTAAAATATTTTTCTGGGACAACCATCGTACATATGGAACTTACACTGACACAAAAAGTATCATGGGAAAATATATTGTATTTCTTAAGGGTCCTCCACACCATATGAATCGTTACTTATATAGAGAAAAATTCTTATACTTCCAGCTTATCTAGTTTTTGCACTGACGATTTTCCTTGCATGCTTGTAAGCTAGTCTTACAAATGCTTGAGAGATAAAGGTTTTGCTAAGGGAAAAGTATGCAGTACAATGAGAGTTACACCTTTATCATTTTTGTGCGTTTCAATAATACATTATCCCATTGTGTGTTTATAAATATTGATAAAATAGTGTGCATTTCTAGTGTTCCTCTTTATATCTGTCCACTTCAGAAGCCAATAATGAGTTATTATATTGTATTGACCTTTAAAACATGATCTGATAAAGAGATCATTTGATCCTCTTCAAAAGCACCAGTTTCTGTTGAACAACGTAAATGTCTTTCTTATTAAATCGAAATGTTGACACAATTTTAATTTTAATCTGTAATGGGAAATTAGTATAATTAAAAGAAACTTTTGTTCATTCTTACACCCCATAATTGCAATTATACCTTAAGGCTGCATAAGTTCAATTTTCCATCAGATAACTATAAGTATTAAACTAACTTTATATTTCAGAGTTGAAAGTTTAATTATGGACCCCCGTACCAGTGTCCAGGATGCGATGCGATGTGACCTGTGTGAGACTGCTGTGGTGCAGATGCACTGTGATGCATGTCTTGTCAACCTGTGTAAAGCTTGTGTGGGAGAGCACATTTCTGCTGATCTCTCGAACCCTCATAAAATTGTTGATTTCAAGGACAGAAAATCGACCCGCCTTTACCCTTGGTGTACATCGCATGGGAAAGGGTGGTGTGAAATGTACTGTAAACGTTGTAAAATTCCTGTATGCATCAAATGTATTGGATCTGATCAACATCTAGGTCATAATATATCAGAAATATTGGAAGTTTAGGGGCAAAGAAAAGACAAACTAAGAAAAGATCATGTTGAATTAAATGAGGTTATTTATCCAACCTACCAGGACATTGCCACTGATATACAAAACAGAATAAGTCAGGTACAAAAGAAATTTGGAGATCTCTCAACAGTCATAACAAAACATGGAGAGGACTGGCACAGAGAAATTGACAAACTTGTCAAGAAACTAAAAGCTGAATATGATGAGATTAAACACATGCAGATTCAAGCTCTACATAAACAACTGGATGAAATAAACATAAAACTTATTGAAATCAAAGATGAAATCAATTCAATAGACAGAGCTGTTACTTCTAACGATGTTTCCAAACTATTTAGCACTACATTTGACGTAGATAAGTACAGACAGCTACCACATAAAATTGTCCTTTATTCACCTACATTCACCCAAGGCAAAATCAATGGAGAGCAACTTAGTGAACTGTTTGGAACTTTATCATTAACTTCCCTATCCCCAGAAAAGAAAGATTACAGCATTAAGACATCACAGAAATTACATGAAGCTGGATCCTCTTCTCCAGTTAAACAGCTGCTTGATGAACCAGAGACTGTCACCACCATAAACACTGGTTATGAATACCTTTACAATGTGGCCTGTTTGAGTGATGAAGAAATCTGGACAAGTGGGGATGACAGCACAATGAAACTTTTCAGCATCAATCAGGGATCACTACTCAAGTCAATTACAACCAGGTCAGGGACTACACACTCTAGCATAGCAGTGACAAAAAGTGGAGACCTAGTTTATACCGATTACAACGATAGAACTGTGAACATTGTGAAGATTGAGAAAATATATGTAGAGGAAATGATCCGTCTACAGGATTGGAAACCTCGTGCTGCCTATAGTACTTCATTGGATGATCTGCTGGTTATCATGGAGAATGATGCTTATAAACAAACAAAAGTTGTTCGTTATTCTGGCTCCACACAGAAACAAAGCATTCAGTTTGATGATAAAGGCAAACCTCTCCTTTCTTATGGACGTTTTTTGATATATTATATCCGTGAGAACACGAATCAGGATATCTGTTTGTCTGACTGTGGAGCTGGAGCAGTAGTGGTGGTAAATCAGGTCGGAAAACTGAGATTCAGGTACACTGGACATACTCCTGCTCTAAAGAACCTACCATTCAGTCCACTAGGAATCACCACAGACAGTCAGAGTCACATCCTTACAGTTGATTTCAACAATGACTGTGTCCACATCATAGACCGGGATGGACAGTTCCTCCGTTACATAGAGTGTGGACTGAGTAAACCCAGGGGATTATGTACAGATACAAATGACAATCTGTTGGTTGCTCAGTACGGAAATAGACAAGTGAAGAAAATCAGGTATCTGCACTGAAGTCCATTAGTATACTAAAGGGGATGTAATAGTGTTGGCAATTTAAAATCTCAACTAACATTATGCAGATATATGTGTCATACCTTTGTGTTCTAAATGTGTTTTTGAAATAAATTTATTTGACACCTTTGAATCAGTTTGCTCCCTTTTGTATGCAGGGAATATGCAACACATTACTTGTTGGTTAATTAACCGGATAAAGATGTTTAACTCAAATAATCAACTTTAATAGGACAAAATTTTTCGATCTCCACCATACAATCAATCAATCAAAAATGAATACAAAAACATATGCTTTCGATTAGGAATGTTATTTTTACAATAAACATAGCATATGTTTATTGAATATAAATAGTTTAAATATCGAATAAGAACGAAAAAATATCGAATATGAATTAGAAAATTATAGATTTGGAAACAAGAAATCATAAAAAAGAAAAGACAAAATTATCGATAAGGAAACAGATGTTTTTGAAGAGTAACTGCGTATTATCAACAGGAAGCAAATGTTTTCAAATAGGAAAAACAACATGTCGAATACATAGGAATGGTAAAACTATGAACTTGATATAATTTAGAATGAAAGTAACATTTATATTTGATATAAAATAAATTAAGAACCCTCTCTACACGTACTGCACACTGAAGAGTTCTGATTCTATGGTATTTTTTGCAGTTAGAGTGATCTGCCCTTAGATCTAAATTCTTAAAATTAGAAATTCACAAGTTATTGCACGATTTGTAATCAATTCAGGTATTCTTAACATTTTAAAAGGCAAGATAAATTAATTGAACATGGTATTTACATGTACTTTCTCTATGGAAGTAAACAACAGTGATTTCTATTCACTGATACTGTGTTGTGTTTGATTATTTTTCCTGGGGGTAAATGCCACGCACCATATGTTGAAAATCATATAAATAAGCTCAATACTAACACCTTTATATCATATATTTTTCTCAATATCCCAAAAACATTTTGTACTGGTGTAGAGAGGGTCCTTAAGGCCTGATGAATAATAAAATGTACACGTTATCAAAATAATCGTATACATGGTCAAACGCATTAAGATAAAAAGAAACGTACATTCCCTTCTACATGTATCTGTTATTACAAATATAAAAATATTCATGATTTATCAGGACAGAAAACGGACATTTATCTTGAGGGGGTGACTCGTCACTACCAAGAAACTTTTTTCACAAGCTTATAGCAACAGGGACAAAATTATATGGGGATGCTTCAAGGTCATTTTTGTTATCTAAAAAAATTGTAAATTCTACAACCAGTAACTGTGCCATCACTTATTTTCATCAGAGGTTAATTTTTGCTGTTTTTAAATGGCATGAAGAATTCCCATGTCTCACAAAGTACGTAAATTCAATACTAAATTGATGTTTTTACTTACCAACAAAATCAAATGCGAACAAATTTATTTTTCTCAAACCAAAATTTTTATTCCAGAAAGATTAGTCCATATATTGTAAAAAAAAAAATAATGTAAACCATTAATTCTTTTCATATTGCAAAGTGTCACTGAATTTCATGTAGAATATAACTATCATGGATACTTTTATTATTGCTGTTTCTTTTTTATATTAATATTTTTTTATTTTAATATATACATATCTACATTTTTTTTAAAAACAAACTAATTTACCGGCTTACAAGATTGTAAGGGATTGTAAGTGAGTAGATCTGATGTCATTGAAAGCAGCATCATATCATACAAAAGACATATGATAGGTGTGCAAATAAGAAAAACTAGCAGGAGTGCAATTCTTAATTTCACGATAGGATATTGTTGAAAATTTGTTCCCTCATCAATCTGTATTTCCTTATATAATAATAGTAGACTTTGCATTCAAACACTAGACGTATAATAGTGAACGTCTTTTTATCAATAAAAAATCACTTAAATAACAGGGTTTTTTTTAACAAAATGATTCTAGCCATCAGCATCATACAGTAAACTAAGCTTCATTGAACCATCTGATACAAGGTATTAAAGTGTTATACAAATCGCGAATTATCCATGAGATTTAAACATGTGTCTATCTTCAAAAACAAATTCTACACTTTGCAGTAATCATGGAAATTTTAATAAGCTAGCCTAAAAATATATTGTACTCTTTTTCTAATAAAATTTTATCTCATCTTTATTTTCATTGCTACGCAAGTTTGACAAGAAATGAATCACTGACATTTATGTATCTCAGCCACTTCTGTGAAGTGGTCTGCTCTATATTCACAATTTTCACCGATTTTTCCTTCATCCCTGATAGCAGATGGCCAGAAATTTCAAACTCCATTCTTAGAGGTCCAACATATTCTTTGTTTAATGCACCGCTCTGACTAATCAACTAAAAACAATAATGAAGTAAAATAAGTGGTACATTATGCATGGATTAAATATTAATAGTCCAATGAAAAATTCAAGACTAAAATATCCTTTGAACTTCCTCAGACTTAATTAAAATACTTTGAGGACGTTAAATTTTCTGCCCAACGGAAAATTTGTTGTACTTTGCAAAACTGCTTGTAAAATATTGCTTCCGCCATCATTGAATCAATGACATACAATAAAAAAAAAGATGCACATGAATTCAAACCAAGTTTGTGCAAGATACATGTAGATTTGACGTACTCTAAATTGAGCGACAGATTCAGCATGAGGAGCCAGTAATTTTAGTTTCCATAGAATGTTCTTGTCTGCCTTTTCCAGTGTGGCAGTTTGCTCACTGCTGTCTAAATGCTGGGAAATGCTTAAGTCATCAATTGAAAAAGAATATTCATCCAACCTAAACATACCACTACAGAGTATATGCTTCATTTTGTCAAAGAATGTTAAACACAAAAAGTTAAAAAATCAACTTGAGTGCTTTTAAATTATTGCAAAATGACTTGCATTGTGACAATGTAAATTTGCAAATGAACTGTTAATCCAGAGCTTTACATGTATATTTCTGAAATATAAAAATAAAAGTATGAGTGCTACTTGCCATGAAACATTGTGGCTTTCATGTGATATTTAAATTTTACAAAGTATTTCTGTGCTCTGTAAACTTACTTTGGAATATCACATACTTAATGTTTAAAATAGAGGTGTCAAATTTAAAGCGGATTAAGCCATAAAATAGAAAGAAAAAAAGCAGAGGCCCGGTGACCCCATCACTCACCTGAGCAACTGGCTAGGAAAAAGCAAAAATTAGTTCAGTATCAAAAAAATTAACATATATATTATAAAAGTGGGTTCTTAAGGGGGGGGGGGGTAAACAAACTTAAATCTAAACTTCCCTAGAATGCTCAGAATTTTCATACTATAAACAACAAAACCATAATGAGTCACAAAAGCATTCTAAGGAAGTGTAGATTTTTTAAGTTTGTTTTAATACAAACTTAAATCTACACTTCCTTAGAATGCTTTTGTGACACAATATGGTTTTGATGTTTATAGTGTTACGGATTTCCCCCATGACTAAAATTACCCACAGCTTGGATCACCCCAATTATGCCCTGAATATTTAATCTACGTATCGTAATTTTATTTGTAGATATCATGGGAATATTATCAATCATCGTATGTTATTAATGTATGCTTTATAATTCATTGTCTATGTTTATTTCATGAATATCGTTTGGTTTTATTGTACAAACCCGAATTTCCTCCATAGATCAGCCCAATCGTAATAACAAATGACTGTCTGACATTGTTATTCGACCCAGGTACCCAAATCCAACTTGGCATCGTTTCCAAAACAATTCCCAAACAACATATCATCCCTTTTCCCGCATTTGTAATGCTAAAGCCTTTACTTGATGCAAAAGTTATGAGAGTTACCATGCAGGTGTCATAACAGTATTACACTTTGGTTCACGTCAAATCATGGCTGACGAAAAATAATCCCAGAATCTTCCCTTCCGATTCGGGCATTTTGATACGAGACTGGAGCTGAATTTTTTTATGAGATGAAAAACAACATGTAAACTTCCTGTATTGACCAGATTTATTAAAATTTAGGGCGTGCTGATTTTTCTGTATACTGTCAAGAGTGGGGAGTGATTAGGCCCTGGACTAGATTTTCAAGCACCTGCTCGACTTCGACCGAAACAAACTTGCGTGCCTTGCTGGATGGCTATGTATTTTTTGGTACTAAAATCTTTATAAAGAATGGTTTTACAAGATCTGAAAAGGAAACTTCTCAGAAGTTTGTTTTGAATTAGTTACATCTGCTCAAACTTGCGCATTTTTGGTAAGAATATATAGCAGAAATTAATACTGTTGTGACACCTGCAGTAAAACCGAATTTTGTACTTAGAAATATTGTAGTCTTAGAATTAAGGTTTTATTTTGTGAGTTTAGACGGAAAATGAGAAATAATGGCATTTTTCGGCCGTCATCGCTGTTCGTTCATTTTTAATGGAGCATAGAAAATTAGTCCAGATTTCCTCTAAAACAAATTATGTTGGCCACACCACGGCCTGATTTGGATGTATCGGGTTGAGAGAAATGCATGAAATTTAGAGGACAGCTTAAAAGATACCTTGCCATCACACTCGTTAACATTATTTACTCATAAATAATTTTAAAATCTATGAATTTAAAAAATTTAGACCACACTCGGAGCAAAATAAAAATTCTGAATATGTGTAAAAATCGGTTTATTTGGAACACATTGGTAACAGATAAAGAAATCCGGTCGGGAAAAATAATTATTGAGGCAAATCAATTGTAATTAAGCAGAAAACACCTTAATATTTCAATTATATTTATTTTTTCAATGCCCTTTTTAACCCCACCCCCCAACCTTATGACAAAAACTATTTCTATCGCCCTGTTATAAAAACCAAACTTATTTTGAACAGTTTTTCATCCTCATGTGAATCAGTATGCATCCATTGAAAAATTAAAACGAAAAAACCGCACAAGTTTAACGCGCAAGATCATTACATACAGTTCAACTTTTGCCATATTTTTAGAAATCCGTGTCCACCGCGA